CTTGACGAAAAATCTTCGGGTGAAAAACTGGAAAATGTGGGAATTGGAGTTGGTGGGTAGGTGTTGGGGAAGAGGAAGGAGGTCGCGCCGAGATCCTCATTTAAGTGGGGGGGGAGGTCGTACTGACACCCCTTCTCGGAGGGAAGCGGGTCGTACCTACACCACTATTTCACACATCACGATGCTGCACCCTGTTTGTGAACGAGACACAGTCTTCTGCTGCCTATGCTGGGGCGTATCAGGGAGCTAGCTTTGGCGCAGCGCTGACCCATTCTCCATTAGTTCTTGATGCGAGCAAGCTGCAACATTTGGTGAAAGAAGGGTAATGCCCCTCCCGATCCCAGCACACCCGGAGTTTTCAACGAAAATAACTAATGTGATTGAGCGAAAACGATATACAAATGTGATATTACAAGAAAGAAACCGAAATAATCAATATTTATACAGATAGCTCATGCGCTTTATGATGTTTCCACTGCCGTTTCACTCTATTGTTGTAGACTAGATCTTTCGTGTAGTCCTTTTCTTGCACATAGCCACTTCATTTTTCTAGTGTAGTGTTGTATTTCGCCGCAGCGCGGCACGACGCACGCTTGTTAGATATTTCGGCGAATGGCGTCTCCTGCGATGAATTTTATCACTTTTCAATTCTTTCATTCTTTCGATATTTGTGCTTTCACGTAACACCCTCACTCTCCTCACACTAGCTCACACCTGTAATCAATTAGTGTGTTTGTCCAAATATGTCCTGAAAAATGTGAGAGTTCCGAAAAACATTTGTGCTTTCTTTATTTCTTAATGCCTCTAACGTTGGCGCTACGTCAGTCAGGGACTAGTAGGCGAGAGGGCGCCACGACTTGTTTCCGTTCGTCTGCGCACTCTCTGTTGTGAACACTACCTCGCTGAGAGAACACAGACAGCGAATAGAATGTGGCCTTGTCTCATTGCTTGGTTCCCCTCAACTGCCTCAGCAACCAAAAATTTTTCGTGCATTTGAGGGTTTTAATTTGGTTGGGAGAGCACGCGGCGCGTATCCTCTCCTGTCTAATTCACGTCAGGAGCTCTACCTATTGGGCTCGAAGCTGCAGCGGTTTTTTTTGGAGAAGTTGTGGGTCTTGTAAATTAGAACTCTCACACTCTTTCAGCACATGTTCAGACCAGCAGCATTTAGATCAGCACTTACAGTACTTAACATTTCCGTTACATGGCTTGGAGTTGGTTAAGTTCATCAGCTTAGCTTCGCTTTAGGGGCTGGCAACGACTCGAATAGTGTCCGAGCACTTCAGTTTCTTGACCGCATTCGAGATTGGGCATGCCGGTTACGCAACGGTTCCAGGTTTGTTGCACGTTATTATTTCAGAGAAATTGAGTTTCCTTTTTTTACTTATATTCCTTTTCGTAATTTTCAGTTTTTTCTCTTTTTATATTTATTGATTAGTCCATGCTTATTTTGATAGCTTTTAATGTATGCTGTCTACATAATGGCATATAATGCTTGGCTATTGCATTCTAACGCCTAACCACGAAATACATTCTTTTCAATTTCGCATACTAATTTGGAGCTGCCTCTT